CCTGCATGTATGTTAAGTGCTCCTAAAACATTCTTGATTAATTAATTGCTTACCCAGTGTTAAGTCCTTCTCTTTTTTTCAAACAGAATATAAATTTGTCAGAATGATATTGTACCCAGTTTAAAAGGCTCACTCCCTTAGGCTCTTTTGCAGGTAGGAGTGGCCATGTGACCCAGACTGGTGACATAATTGAAGTCTACAGGGAGGAGCTTCTAGGAAAGCAATAGTCTCAGCTGGCATTCACTGTTTCTCTTGTTCCCCCTTCTTCCTGCTTGGAAGGTGGATACCATTCTGCACCTACAGTACCCATCTGGCAACCACAAGGACAATGCAAGGACATTGGAGTAAACAACCAGAAGGATCCTGGTTGAAGGTCTTTAATGACTTCCTCAAAGTTTGTCTGCATCTGCCAATATTTGGACTTTTCAGTTGGATAGAAAAATGAAGGTGGATTTTGTTTAAGGTTCTGTTGTTGGGTTTTTCTTCTATGTGGCTCAAAGGGATCCTATCTGTCATGGTGTTGAAACATAAAAAACAGGTGAGATCTGGAACTCACTGAGCCTAAGGAGAGAAAAGGAGGCGGGGAAGATGAGAAGCTGAATGTGTCACCGAGCAACTGCCCTGACACCCCTGTGTATGTAAAACGCAGGGCAGCGGCCACTGTCACCCTCCTTCTTGTTCACAGTCTACCACTGGGCGTGGAACTCGACAGTCCTGATACAGAACAATCCCCAAAGCTGCTTGGAAGAGTTGCTATAGAAGGTCAAACCTGAGTCCACTCAACTGATGGGCAGAAAACCAGTCACTGACGTTGGGATGACGGAAGAAAAGAGGCAATTATTGTAACACATAGAGCAAGGAGCCAGGCAGCTGTTGCCTAGTTCCTGGGCTCCCTGACGATTAGAGGTGAAGGCTCCTATAGGTTGAAGTTGGGGCTCAAAGGTGCATGTTCAGCTCATGTCCAAGTTCCTGTTTGGTTTATAGTGTTCATACCCCTCCTTTGATTGGTCAGCCATATAGTGTCCTTTAGGGAATATTGAAGATAGCCCAGTGGGCTCTATTCAGTCTAGGGGCTTTGGGGAGGTGGCTGTTACTTTTTGCTCAGGGCCTAGGAAAATAAAACCCTAGTGACAATAGCAATCCTCAAGGTGTAATCAATTGGAAAAGCAAATGACCTCATGACCTCAGGAGTCTGATGATTAGAACCTTATAGAGCTCAACTGTACTGCTCCCTCAGGGAGTCAGTTTTATTAAGTTGCTGATTGTCTATCAAAAAGGCAGGGCAAGGACACTTAAAGGTGAGGCAGGGAAGCTAGGAGACTGGGGCCTGATGCTATCTAGCAACTGAGTACAGGGATTCAATTGTAGTCAGAGCCTCCCAGTGCACAGACAGGAACATCCAGGCCTCTTCTTATTTCCCTAGGGGTAGGGGAGCGTCCTTCTTGGGTAAGTTAAGCTTCCTTTGAGAACACTTTAAAACACGAGTTTGAACCTGGTTGACAAAGAAACATAACCCCTGGATCATTAGCCTACCTGTCTGGTTTTGTGGAGTGGAACAACCGTGGCCATGGAAAATGACCTTGATTGTCCTTGAATGGTAAGGGCAGAAAATTGAGAACAAAGAACTCTTTTGATATGTTTTAAATAATGGTTTTCAAAAATAATCTAATTCCTTTAAATCTCTTTATTTATTGTGCAATAAAAGAAATAGGAAATACCAGGGCTTTACTTTCATGAAAAAATCTATTCTTCTAAGTATGCAAACCTACATAGCCAACTTATGCTTGCTTCACCCATTAATTCTATGGAGCACGTGAGTGTTCTCACACATTTGCTTCTTTTTCAGGTCATTTAAGATTATTGATTCCTCCTTCTCTAGTGTGGAGCTCAATTCTCTAAGGACTGGTTAGCAAAACATTTTCCAGCTCTCACAGTGCCATTTAAAAATGATTATGCTCAGTGTCTTCAGCTTAAAGAGTCCCTTCTCGATTCCCATATGCTAGCAGTTTGTACACCTCTTTTTTGCCTTATTTTTTAGGGCCAATTCCAAGACACTTGGCCCTTTCAGTAACATTCCCTTGGACTGCCTTCTTTCAGTTGTTAAAGCAGCAACAGAGTCAATGACTAAACCAGACAAATTGCGGAGATATATATATATATATTTTTTTTGTTTGGAAAAATCAGAAGTTTCTGGGGGAAATGAAATCATTGTAAGTAGTCATGTATAGTCTTTTGGCTCAAAAGTTAAAATGCTAAGTTACACATTAGCTGGTGCATAAATTTGCATATTGATATACACAGTCCCAGTGACTGTAATAGCATCACAGATTAGCAGAGACAGATGCACACAGACAAGCACAGGCTGACATTCAGAGACTCCGAGCCTGAGCAAAGGGTGGGGTTGCCTTGTTGAAAGCAAGGGGGCTTGGGAGGAGCACAGAGGTTTTTAAGGGAAAGGTGGAGGGCCCGGAAGGGTAGGCAGTACTCACTAACTCTTGCTTTGTGTAACTTCCTGGCCCCAGGTCTCTACTTTCCTGCCTTCTTTCCAACTTTAGACCTCTCCCGGAACTCAGAAGACGACTGTCAGAGGCTTTGACTGAAGAGGAAGATCCACCGCATTCCCAGTCCCCAAGGAGGATTTAGACTTTAAGAAAAGGAGAGGTGAGGGATTGGCGTTACGGTTAAGCGACTGCTTGTGACAGTGGTTTGAGTCCCAGCTGCTCTGCTTCTGATTCAGCTCCTTGCTAATGGGTCTGGGAAAGCAGTGGCAGATGGCCCAACTACTTGGGCCCCTGCCACTTGTGTGGCAGAACTGGATGAAGCTCCTGGCTCCCAGCTTTGTCCTGACCCAGCTCCAGCTGTGCAAACTTTTGGGGAGTGAACCAGCAGATGGAAGGTCTCCCTCTCTCTTTGTCACTCTGCCTATCAAATAAATAAGTCTTAAAAAAAAAAAAAGGAAGGAAGAGATGGTCTCTGAAAGGGTGTTTTTCAACTAGTTTGCTTTTTTATTTTGTTTTTTACTCTTCTATAACCTTGAGTAGGGCATCCAACAACAGACCCAAGTCTTAGCTTCCTGCCCAGATAGATGGCCTTGGGATGTTGCCAGCAAGGATCAAACCCTGAGACAAATCCAGATTCCACACTGGACTGATCTGCAAACCAAAGCACTGATTTATTAATTTACAGTGGAGAATATAGATGTCATGAAGTCCAGGGTGTTTCCTACACCATAGTCTACACCCCTGTAGGACCAAGGTGCCTAGGGCACTGCATTAATAATTAGGATAAAAGGGTGAAGAGCTTCCTTATGCTTTATTTACTTATTTATTTTTTGACAGGCAGAGTTAGACAGTGAGAGAGAGACAGAGACAGAGAGAAAGGTCTTCCTTCCGTTGGTTCACCCCCCAAGTGACCACTACAGCTGGTACTGTGCTGATCCAAAGCCAGGAGCCAGGTGCTTCCTCCTGGTATCCCCTGCGGGTGCAGGGCCCAAGGACCTGGGCCATCCTCCACTGCACTCCCGGGCCACAGCAGAGAGCTGGACTGGAAGAGGAGCAACCGGGACAGAATCTGGCACCCCAACCGGGACTAGAACCCAGTGTGCTGGCGCCGCAGGTGGAGGATTAGCCTATTGAGCTGCGGCGCCGGCCCTTCCTTATGCTTGGAGAGGCCACAGGACACTGCCTCCGTAGTAATTCCTTATATGCCAAGTGGTCTCCACGGATGCTCGAAGCACCTTCTACAGTTCATGGTCTTGGCTTCTCATGTCTCAAGGATTAGTCCCCATCATCTTTTGCTTTTAATGTTCACATTGGCCATTGCAAAACCAACATTTTTAAATTGTAATGAACATCTTTTATTCCCCCAAAAACTAGGCATTGAGCTCTCTGTATGGTCTAGATGCTGTCATAGAGTGCAGGTACTGCGGGGGCGACCAAGATGAATCAAACCTGAAACAGCTCACAATCACGAAAACAGGAGTGTGCTGATATATACATCTGCTGCACCACGGTGGGGCTGGGGGAGGGGCACTTTACAGAAATATCCACAGAGTGCTCTGAGGATTCAAAGGATGAGACACGAACCTGCTTGCTGAGAAGGAGGGAGTCTGATTCATAGGGGGGTTGGCACTTTAGCTCAAACATAAAGAATGGCTATTGTTTCAGCAAGCAGAAATTGTCAGAGGTGCTGTAGGGAGGAATTGAGGGAGAGAGAAGAGGCAAGGTGTCTGGGAGGTAGCCCATGCCAAAGACAGGGAGAGCGTGGAGCACACCCAACATTTTGTTCCCATATATGCCTCCTGCTTAGGTTTGAGGACTAGAGGGTGTGTGACATGCTCACTTGGACTTACCTCCAATGGTGGAACTAGAAATGTGCCAGGGGATTTCAACTCAATCTTACCAAGGAGGCAAGTACCAATGCCAGCGCACTTGGTAAAGTGATAAGTATAAATCCACAACCAATCAAAAAGATAGGGTATGTGTCAATGAGATTTCACAAATAAGACCAGTGTAAGCAAATAATGAAGGATAGAATTAAAAGGGAGAGAATGATCCTGCAGGGGAAACAGGACACACAGCAGACTGATAGAATGGCAGCACCCCTGCCTCAGAATCAACCCTTGGGACATTCGGATCTGGCTAAAAGGTCCATGAGAGTCTCACAGGCATGGGAAGCCATGACACGGTGGCAAAAAACGATCTAAATGAAAGATCCTGGTGAACAAGACCCCAGCAGAAGGATCAGGCCATCAAGGAGAGAGGGGCCTTTCTCTGAAGGGAGGAAGGAACCTCCACTGTGATATGGCCTTGACTAAACAAGTTCAGAGTCGGTGAACTCAAGGGGCTTCCATAGCCTAGACAGCTCATAGCAAGAGTCTCGGGTGATTGCTGACGTCATAAATAAGAGTGCCAATTGTTAAATCAACAACGGGAGTCACTGGGTTCATGCTCCCCATGTAGGATCTCTGTCAATGTGTTCTACTATGAAACTTAAAAAACAACACTACTAGTCGAACAATACCCTATACCTTGTGCAGTTGTGTGAGTGCAGCCTGTTGAAATCCTTGCTTAGTATATACTAAGTTGATCTTCAGTATATGAAGGTAATTGAAAATGAAACTCGATGAAGGGCTGGATGGGAGAGGGAGTGGAAGAGCTGAGGGAGGGAGGGAGGTTGGGGGGGGGAAGCCACAACAATACAAAAGTTGCACTTTGTAAATTCACATTTATTAAATAAAAAAATAACTATATAACAAACAAAAAAAAGAAAAAGAAAAAAAAACAAAAAAGAACTTAATAATTTACCCTTTTAGTATTTTTTTTATGTTCTACTTAAAACTATTGGTTGAACTCTGTAATTAATACACAATTACTCTTAGGTGTTTAATTAATGCTATAACTATTATTCAAATAGTATTTTACACTTTGTGTTTCTTTGTGGGTGCAAACTGTTGAAATCTTTACTTAATATATGCTAAATTGATCTTCTGTATATAAAGATAATTGAAAATTAATCTTGATGTGAATGGAAGGAGAGAGGGAGTGGGAGAGGGGAGTGTTGTGGGTGGGAGGGAAGTTGGGGGGGGGGGAAGCTATCGTAATCCATAAGCTGTACTTTGGAAATTTATGTTCATTAAATAAAATAAAATTAAAAAAAAAGAAAGCTAAAAAAAAATAGAGGGCGTGTGAGAGCAGTAAGTGTCAGAGCTGAGAGGCCCACGGGGGCCCACGGCTCAACCATGAACGTCAGCAGCTTCACTCTGTGGGCGCCTGGCACTCACAAGGGTTTCTCCGAGGAAGGCTGTGATCCGGACTCCATTTCAGAAGATGAATTCGGCCTTGGGGTACGGGATGGACTGAGAAGAAAGAAAACAGAGGGCGAGGAACCTGATGTGGACGTTGCTGCGGGACCTCAGAGCAGAAAGGATGAGGTCTTGTTGAACCAGGACAGCAGCAGTGGGGATCAAAAACGTAGAGGTGGTGCGAAAGATGCTATGAAGGTAGGATCTGCGGGTCTTGCTATCGAGTTGGATGCGGGAGGTAGATTAAGGATGAGTCGGTGATGACCAAGCGGAGCTAACATGAAGGGCTGTGCGAAGCACCTTGCACGAAGTAACTCATTTGATCCTCCTTATGACTCCACGAAGTAGTTACCATGGGTGTCCCCATTTTACAGGTGAGAAAACTGATGCGCAGAGGTGATACAACTTCTCCAAGGTTGCATGGCTGATAGGAGGAGTCAGAATTTCCACCAAGTCTTGGAAGTCTTCTGACACTGCTGGCCATGCTGTTCTCCTCAGTGCTACTTCCAGGCCTCTCACTGCCAAGTTCCCCAGCTGGAATGACTTCTGCTGTCTGCCCATTCGATAAAGACTGAATGAGTTTCTGCCGATTGAATTGCCCTCTGGTCCTGACTCAGAGAAGCAAAGGGAAGGTAATCACAGTTCTGAAAACAAATCCATTTTAATCACTGAATCAATGTGGGTAGTGATTTGAAAACATAGTACAACACTCTACCGTTGAAGTCATACCCAATTAAAAAAGATTCCATATTGGTTGTTGATACCATGATTTAAGTTTTTGCTTTATTTGTTATTTTGTTATAGTTAAACAGAACAAAACAAATTCTGCCTGCCTTATCTCCATGTGTCAGTAGATCCACGTCACATTCCCTGCAATGTGGGTGTTTTGATAATCAACCTGATCTTAACTCAGTGGCATGGATCTCTTGGGCTTTGGTCTAAATCCGAGTGGATCTTGGGTGATCAAAGATCATTTTCATATCTCCAGTATTGGCCCACGGACTCCTAAGGGCTCCTCCGTGCTCAGGTCAGACCTGTGCTTCATCTTGTTTCTTTCTGTTTTCTTCTTCATACTGAAACTACAGCACTGGAAATTTTTTTATTAGAATTCAGGTACCATGAGGATAATGATAGTGTCGCTTTTTAAAGCACATGGTATGCCAGCAGCACTCAGAGTGACAAAATGCAGGCTTGTTGAGTAATTACAGCTCTGTCCTCTGCAAGGAATTAATTTCACCCCCCAGAAAAACCCAAAACAAAACACTGGCATTTTTTTTTAAAAAAGCTGATGAACATTTCATGGCTCTCTGGCTTCTGATTTCATTGCCCTAACAATTGATACGGTCATTGCAATAACAGTTAACTGCTCCTGTGTGTTATGAACAAAAGCAGAAACTGCAGGGTCCACTGAAAGAAATCACGTGAGTGTGTGTCTGCATGTGTATGTTTATGAATATACCCAAGAAATTGTGGGTGCAAACAGGCATGCACTCATTGTGTGTAACAGGTGTGTGCACATGCCTGTGCAAGTGCTTGTGAACATATCTGAGAAATTGTGGTGTGCATGTGTGCACCTGCCTATGTGCAGTTGCATATAAATTTGAGCCCCAGATATTTCAGCAGTCAGAAATGCCCCAGGTTCTGCGTGCTGAGTTATGAAGAGGCCTTCTTGCCGGGAAATAGGCTTTATGATTTACAGCAGAACAATAGTGAAAGAACCTCAGCTCTTGTAATGTGATTTTTTTTTTTTACCTTCTAACACCAATGATTTTAAATCAGAGTTTCTATCATTTACCACTTTGACTTGCTGGGAAAAAGAATCCAACCTTAAAGCACTAATTCTTTAAACAAAACAGAGGTTGTGTGGTGTTTTCCTCCATCCCAGACATCTCACTCCTCTGTTGTCCAGAGGGCAGGGTCAGTGTTGTTCAGGCTCTTACTATCTTTTCCATTTACTGAGTATAGAAATAAATGCTGACAATCACCTTTTGGGAGTGAGACATCCCAGGGAATTAGTCACTTACTGCCATTAAGAAGCAGTCTCTCTGGCGTCTTAATGCATTCAGCCTGTCTTTTAGGCCCTGTTATAATTTGCTTCTAAAAACAGTGGCTCTCAAACTTCATCTTGCCTCAGAGTCACTTGGAAAATGTAAGACAAAAACCTCAAATGTCCAGAGACTTGGACCAAATTGGCCTGAGATGGGGCCAGTGCGCAGACAGTGTCTAAAAGCCCCCTGGATGACTCTGGTGAATCAAAGGAGGATTGAAAACCTGAGACCCTAGACCACTGGTTTTGCGATCACATTAGATCACTTGCAGACATTTTTGAAAATTCTAATGATGCTCAGGCCTCACTTAAAACATCAGAACATCCAGAATTGCAGCCAACACATAGGGTACTTATTAAAACCTCTTCAGGTGGTTACAACACACAGGCAAAGTTGAAAATCACTAATCTGGATTTGTGAACTTGGGCCAATCTGCGCAACATGGATTTTAACCAAAGAATAAAGTATTCCATTGCACACCACACAGCAAATGACTTGCATTTTATTGTCTCCAGTGTTCTTTTTACTTAAAGGCCCACCTCTATTCTCTCTCCCGAAAGCTCCTTTTTCCTCCAGTAGCTTCTCCTATGATTTTTCCCCATAGTGGGGTCTTCTTTTGCCTACCCTGCTTCTCTAATCAAACCCAGCAAAATATTTTCAGGTCTCACTCTTACATGAGGGACCTCACGTTAGCCTTCCAAAATTCAGGATAAATTATTTATGAATTAAGTTTTGGCTTTGTAGCCAGGAGGAAGATGGAATCCTTAGACCAAGACTATAACTTTCAGAGAGAGCCAAGAACACCCAGAGACGAAAGAGCCTCGCTCATCTACGAAGACCGACAAGGCTCTCGCCGGTGGATTAACTGTCTAATAGATGCCTCTTGCTTCCTCTCTTCCTTTCCCATTCTCACTGCCACCCCAAGGTCTTCCTCCTAAGGCTTCCCTGGACAACATTTAACAGCTTTCTAGCTAAATTCTCTTTTCCTGAAGTTTTCATCCCTATTTCTATCATTATGTTAGATAAGTACAAATGTAATGAGTTTTCCAGGTTCACTTAAACTTTAATAGAAGTTCCCGAGTTTTTTGTGGTCATAGATTCCTTTGAGAGTTTGATGAAAACTACGGACACTACGGACACAGTTTTTGAGCACAGGTTTATATAACATTGCATACAACTGATTCCAAACGTCTTTTGGATGCTCCAGCAGCACATACAGCCCTTTGGTCCATGACTCCACACTGACGGCATCTGCTTTACAGCCTGGTCCTATCAACTGATGTGTAATGGACTTGGACTAAGTTTAAATACTTAGTTGTTTTTTTTTTTTAATTATGGAAAAGGAAAGGTGGGAACTATCACTATCACACCATGAAGCACCACTTGACTGCATTTTTTTTTTTTTTTTTTTTGGACAGGCAGAGTGGACAGTGAGAGAGAGAGACAGAGAGAAAGGTCTTCCTTTTCTGTTGGTTCATCCCCCAATGGCCACTGCGGCCGGCGCACTGTGGCTGGTGCACCGTGCCTATCCGAAGCCAGGAGCCAGGGGCTTCTCCGGGTCTCCCATGTGGGTGCAGGGCCCAAGCACTTGGGCCATCCTCCACTGCACTCCCAGGTCACAGCAGAGAGCTGGACTGGAAGAGGAGCAACTGGGACAGAATCCGGCACCCCAACTGGGACTAAAACCCAGTGTGCCGGTGCCGCAGGTGGAGGATTAGCCTATTGAGCCGCGGCGCCGGCCCCACTTGACTGTACTTTTGACTTGACTTTGTAAACATCTACAAAGTTTGAAAAAAATTAAAATAGTTGAAACAGTTAAGTTGCATTTTTATTGCTTGACTTTTCTACTTCCTTCTCAATTGTCATGTGAAGGATAATGATGGTAATCACATCTTTGGCATCGCATGCCACTTAATAGTTTATAAGCACATTCAGACACATTTACATATATTATTTAACTTACACAAGAAACATAAGCTTTAAAGAAATCCATTGGCTTAATTGTGGTGGCTCAGTGAGGAGGTGGTTGAGCAGGGGGCTAATGTCCCAGAATCCTGGCCTGTGCTGAGTATTTCCACTCAGTTACTTAAGTCTGTTCTTGCTTAACAGTGTCTCAGATTTGTTCCCACTGATCCAGCTAGATGTTCACCATTAAAATTCAGATAATAATTAATTAATTTCTCCATTCAATAGCCTTTACAAAGTGGGTGAGCAGATAGTCTAGTGGTTAGGATACCAGTTAAGTGCCATATCAGAGTGCTTGGGTTCACGTCTAAACTCTGGCTTCAGCTTCCTGCTAATGCGGACCCGGGGAGGCAGCAGTTGATAACTCAAGTAGTTAGGTTCATGCTACCCATGTGGGAGATCCAGGCTGTATTCTGGCTCCCAGCTGTGGCCTGGCTTAGCCCGGCCATTGCAGGTACTTGGGGAGTAAACTAACCAATAAGATCTCTCTCTATATATATTTTTTTCTCCCTCTATCTCTCAAACTTAAAAAAAAAGGAGATGAAATTCTGAGTGGCCAGGATAGAGCAGGCACTGTGTCATCACAAGTACCCATTTAAGAAAAAATGGAACCGTGTGGTAACAAAGTGCCACAGAGCTTTAAGGCAGCATTCAGCAAAGAGGCTCAGGGACCGCTTTCTGGAAGAGTGACACTTGATCTTAGGTACAAATAATGAAAAAATGTTAAAAGATGAACCTGGGTAAGAAGGCAGCAATCCAGGCAATGGGGAAAACAAAGGGAAAAGACATAGAGGTGGGACTCTTAGGGGAATAATCCGTGCCCATTTTGATAGCCATTAGGGAGTCCTAGCAACAGCCTGCATGATGGGTGAGTCCTGCAATCCAGGCTGTGAACCTGCACTCACTTAGAGGCGAAATGGGGCCTTGGAAGGTTAGATGCAGGCAGAAATGCACCTGGGTTCCACTTTTTTCTTTTTTTTTTTTTTTTTTGATAGTGTATAGTATTGCTTAGATTTTTTTTTTTTTTTGGTACATTCTTTTACATCCATGCAATATCTTGCTAGAGTTTAGTTCTTAGGGATAGAACTTGAAAGTTAATATTCAGTCCAGGGTTAAAAAATAGGGGCTATGAACTTTTACATGGATCTTCTAAAATTATATAGACTTTGTTGTATATTTGTGTATAGATTCCTGTTTCTTTTTCGGAACTAAAGAGATGGTCCATAGCTTCCATTAGCTTCTCAAAAGAACACAGGAGCCAAAAGAGAACTGCAGCTTAAAGCTTGATGGAGTAAAAACTGATTTATTTATTTGAGAGTAGAGTTACAGACAGAGAGAGGGAGAGACAGAGAGAGAGGTCTTCCATCTGCTGATTCACTCCTCACATGGCCACAATGGCTGGAGCTGGGCTGGTCCAAACCAGGAGCCAGGAGTCTCCTCCAGGTCCCTGATGTGGGAACAGGGGCCCAAGAATTTGAGAGGTGGAAGATAGCATTACTGCCTGCTTTCCCAGGCAGTGAGAGCTGGATCAGAAGAGGAGCAGCCTGTACTTGAACTGGCTTCCATATGGGATGCCAGTACTACAGGTGGAGGCTTAGCCTACTATGCCATAGTGCTGGCCCCTAGAAAATGATTTTGATTTTGCCTCATAGAATGATGGTGCCTAGACTTAAAGGTGTGTGTGAGATTCATCTTAACAGACTATATTGTTAGTCCCACTAAAAATACAAGAATTTTTGTGTGTCAAA